CCACACCCCACACCCCACACCCCACACCCCACACCCCACACCCCACACCCCACACCCCACACCCCACACCCCACACCCCACACGCCACACCCCACACGCCACACGCCACACGCCACACGCCACACGCCACACGCCACACGCCACACGCCACACGCCACACGCCACACGCCACACGCCACACGCCACACACGCCACACGCCACACGCCACACGCCACACGCCACACGCCACACGCCACACGCACACGCACACACACACAGAGACACGCACGCACAGACGTGTGTGTGTGTGTGTTGTGTCGTGTTGTGTTGTGTTGTGTTGTGCTGTGCTGTGCTGTGCCGTGCGGTGCTGTGCTGTGCTGTGCTGTGTTGTGTTGTGTTGTGTTGTGTTGTGTTGTGTGTGTGCATGGGCGTGTGGGTGTGTGGGTGGGTGGGTGGGGGTGGGGGTGGGGGTGGGGGTGTGGGGGTGGGGGTGGGGGTGGGGGTGGGGGTGGGGGTGGGGGTGGGGGTGGGTGTGGGTGTGGGTGTGGGTGTGGGTGTGGGTGTGGGTGTGGGTGTGGGTGTGGGTGTGGGCGTGGGCGTGGGTGTGGGTGTGGGTGTGGGTGTGGGTGCGGTGTGGGTGCAAGTGGGTTGGTGTGGGTGCGCGTGCGTTCTTACATATATATCTCGTAGTAACGTAGTACCGACATCACGGCAAGTGCAGCAAGAATCTTACGCATGTGTGCTGCAGGCACTCTGAAAAACACTTTGCGGGAAGGATTTCCAGGCGTTGAGGGTTTAGGGTTGAAAAGGGAAAACTTCCAGAGCCGGCTAACTGGGAACGTGTCGGTCGTTTTTGTGCTTGCTGGATCGTGGCTTGTGGCCCGTGCATCCATGTAGCTAATGGTTCGCAACACCAACAGCAACCTTTGATGAATATGCGCGACCTGCTGAAGCAAGCACAGCTCCGTTTCGTTGAGGCCTTTTCGCAGCTGTTCCTTGCCTTGAGGGACCCTGAACCCTACAACCTACTCCTTGAGACCCAAATCCGGAGGAAGCATCTCCGTGCTGTCTCGTGCTTCTCCAAAGAGCCCCAGACTTTTAATTCAGGAATAGACCTTACATTGTATATCCCCATCTTCCTTAAGGGGTATTGGGCTTCTCGAGCGTAATCTGAATGGATGGAGGTAAGGATGAGCAGCGGATGTGCAGTCGGGGCAGATGCCCCAAATGGCGGCTTTGAGACGTGTTCCGACCCTCAACCCTACTTGGAGCCCAAGAAACAGTGTACTTATGACTCACTTGCAAACCCTTTAAGTATCCTACTACGGCTAAAATTAGGATACGACCTTCAACCCTATGACGCCTATGACCCTATTTGGGAAGCCGTTTGACTTAGCAAGAAGGGACAGTAAGGTGGGTTTTGGGGATGATCATGGGGTTTGTAGGGCCCAGGGGATGAGTAGACTTACCGAATCAAAAGAGCATTGAAGTATAGGTAGAGGGGTTTATAGGGTTTTAGGCCTCCAAACAAAAAAGTCGAAGCCTAAACCTAATAAGCTTACCTCAGCACCGGATCATGAAGAAGCATGGAGGCTCAGACGCGTAGCCCCTGCCTACTTCCACACAGTAATGGAGGTCAGCTTAATTCCCAGCATGAAGGACGCCCATCGCCGTCGATTGCCCGTTGCACAGAAGACTCGTCACGTCCTCACTGCGTCTTGTACTCTGCTTGACACTGTGTTGGCGCATGTTCTGTTTTTGATCAGGGCCCGCTGGCTTCGCAATTCCTCAGGGGAGTTTACCGTTCCAAGAAGACAATGGAAGAAGGTCCAACTGAGGTTGGGCCTAGTGTTAACATCAAATATAGTACACAGGCTTCGCTTTGTGCCGGCGAACTCCCTGGACAAATTGCTTGCCCGGTGCCGCTTGTAGGATTAAGCTGCCTCTGCATGGGACCGAATCGGGTACCTGTGTTGATGCATGTGTCGCGTTTCCTTTCCTCACTCCGGTGGGGGAGACACGGAGCGTCAGAAGCTGCTGTCCTAGAAACCACGGCCCATCCCTTTCTGCAGGCGCTTGGCGAGGGGTTGCATCTCCAGTCTTTTGTGGCGAAGTGTCATACCGAATAGCTGGAGGACCTGGAGGCATCCCATGCCGAGTGAATTGTGAGAGGGGAGGTTGGGTGCCAACTTGCAAACTTGCACGACGTGCTCCGGCAGCAGCTCTACCACATCTGGGATGGTGCGTAGCCTTTGTGTGCCTTTGTCTTGAGATTCCCTAAGCTTTAAACCCCCAAGCCTAAACCCTAAACCCCGAAGCCGAGAAACCCTCAGGTGCACTCAGGGCAAGTTGTAGCCAAAGAGCCCGATACCCCTCACATAAGGAATATTGCCTAAACCCCTGTTATCATGTAAGGCATATAGCTTTATTAAGGGGTAATGGGCTCTGTGGGCAAGGCAAGTTAGGGGGCCGGGCTGGAGGCAGTCCATATGCCCGGAAAAGGGGGTGAGAAGACGCGCTCGCGTGAAGATTGCGCAGCGGAAGTGTTGAGCTGGGGGTGTCAGTTCAGAGGGTGTAGGGCTTTAGGGTTCAGGGTTTAGGGTTTGGAGTTTGGGGCTTAGGGTTTTAGCGCTTACCGGGCCAGTTGTCAGTCAGGATTTCATAGTGTCAATCTTTGGAACACAACGTAAGTTGCACTTGGCTTTGGAGTCATTCCGCGGTTCTGCGTCTTCTTCTACCTTTTACTGCCAGAGCGGCTGCGAAGAAGCGCAACGAGCCCCAAAATCGCCGAACTTTTTAGGGTTTCAGGGTTTCAGGGCTTAAGGGCTAAGGGCTTAGGGCTCGGGGTTTATGGTTTCGGGGTATAAAGCCTGTTGCTTCAGCTTCTTGGCAGTGCGCCCAAACTTCACTGTTCCATCTATGGGAGTTCTTCAGCCTTCGGCGGCTTTCACTGCAACTGGGAAGTCCTGAACCCCTAAACCTTAAAGAAGCCCCAAAGCCTTAGAGCCCCAAAGCCTTTTGAAAGTCCTGAGGAGTTCATTGAACTGAAAGGTGAGCCCATGGTTGTTATTTCACAGATGTTGCCGTTAAAGCCGCGCTACAAGATCCTGAGGAGCTCGTGTAATTTCACGCAGCTGCGACAGCAGCGAGGAATGGAGAAAGGCTGGCCGCTAGGAGTCGGGTTTGGGCTTTAGGCTCTAGGCATTAGGCGTTATAAGATGGCCTAAACCCTAAACCCTAAACCCTAAACCCTAAACCCTAAACCCTAAACCCTAAACCCTAAACCCTAAACCCTAAACCCTAAACCCTAAACCCTAAACCCTAAACCCTAAACCCTAAACCCTAAACCCTAAACCTAACCCTAAACCCTAAACCCTAAACCCTAAACCCTAAACCCTAAACCCTAAACCCTAAACCCTAAACCCTAAACCCTAAACCCTAAACCCTAAACCCTAAACCCGAAACCCGAAACCCTAAACCCTAAACCCTAAACCCTAAACCCTAAACCCTAAACCTCTCTTCATATATATGTATATATTTAAACCCTAATGAATTCGTCGAATAAGCCAAGTCCTTCGTCGAATAAGCCAAGTCCTTGGATGAAAATTTTATATTTTCTTAATGTTATGGGATTCTTTGGGCGGGTGTTTTTTTTTTCCTAAGCCTGGAACCCCTTAATGACTATGAATGCTACCTCTAGACCCTAAACTCTAAACCCTAAACCCTAAACCCTAAACCCTCAAAGATCGGTCCATTTAAGGTCTCGCTGAACCCTAGTTAACCCCTGACCTCCTAGAAGCCCTAAGAGCCCTAAACCCTGAAAGGACGTCTACGCTGAGCCCTAAGCCTTAGACCCTAAGAACCCGAAACAGTTTTGACCCTTTACGGGATTATGGGGTACAGTAGCCCATCCTGCTTTGTACTTGACAGCGTATCGTTCTGCGTTGCAAAGCAGTTTTTTGTCTGGACAAGTCGGCTCTGCACAAATTAGACGAAGAAGGCTCCTCTTGGGATGTTCCCCCCTATGCTAACAGTCCTAGGGATTCCAGCACCCCTTATAGTAAACCGTAAACCCTAAACCCTAAACCCTTGGGGCAGACTCGATCTTCGGCGATGATGACTTTTGTGCCTTTCGTGCCCTTGGGAATTTGACCAGTTCTTTTGGGAAGCGAAGGCTATGCGAGCCTCTCTTTCGAACTCGTAGCTCTGAACATCAGCGGCCGTCAGGGCCCCAATGCTGCAAACAAGAGCCCAAGAAGCTCAAGAAACCCATACCAAGCTCCAAAGCTCATGCGCGCAGACTATGCAAGCACCACCGGCGCCAAACCCCAAACCCCTCGTTTTGTCTTAAAAACACAGTTCAAGTACATCGAGTCATGTAACCTTGAACTTGAGTGGCGCATGTGACATGGTCCCATGGCGCCATGGAGCCACACTGGGGGCTTCCGGTGCCTCCTTGTGCTCTGCGTGGACTTGCTGTGCCTTGGCGCCGGTGACGGTGGCCAGAAGCAGCCCCGATTTCCGCCCATCGCATGCCGGGAGCATCTGGCCTGGGTGGCGGAGAGATACTTCCACGCGCGCGGCCACGCCGCCGAGGTTGGCGTCTTCCAAGGGGAGTTCGCGATGATGAACCTCCGGGTCTGGACACTTGCTGCTGGTTAGTAGGGAATGAGGTTATAATCCCCTTATGAAGGGTATGTATAGGGGGATATAGGGGGATATAGGGCTATGGACCAACAGCAAGGACAGGCAAGTACTTCTGCATTGATGCGTGGCGTCACCGGAAAGATGGCTCCAGGGACAAGAACGTGCGCTGGGCCTACTGGCACCTCCGGAACCTGAGGGTGGCCAGAGACTTGCTGGTAAGTAGGGAGGGCACAGAGGGGTCTCCTATATCATCCCTTTATAAGGTACCCTTTAAAGGGATTCTATGAGATTCTTTGGGGGTGCTGAAGTTCCCCCCCGAGTTCCCTCCTAACCAACCGGTAAGGAGAGAACCTCGGGTTTTCTGGCAACCGCTCCGTCTTCGTGCGCAAGTACAGCAAGGAGGCCGCAGGATCCTTCCCAGAGGAGTTCTTCGACTGGCTCTACCTGGACGCATCGCACACGGAGGAGGACTTTGTCATAGCGGGGGGTACCATTTTTGGTTTTGAAGGGTACTTTAAGCTCAATGAGGAATAGAAGTCAAAAGTTCTCATGCTATCCCAACCATGAACTAGAATAACTGGGCCCTAAACCCTAAACCCTAAACCCTAAACCCTAAACCCTGAACCCTGAACCCTGAACCCTAAACCCTAAACCCTAAACCCTAAACCCTAAACCCTGAACCCTAAACCCTAAACCCTAAACCCTAAACCCTAAACCCTAAACCCTAAACCCTAAACCCTTAACCTTAACCTCTATATACCAGAGGACGTCACCGCGGACTTGCGGGCCTGGTGGCCAAGGCTGCGCCGGGGCGGGCTCTTCAGCGGTCACGACTACATGGATGCCAACCAAACCTGGCTGCTCCTGCCTGGAAACCGGGCTGTCTTTTTTTTTCTCCTTTTGGTTTAGTAGGGTTTAGGGTTTAGGGTTTAGGGTTTGGGGTTTAGGGTTTAGGGTTTAGGGTTAGGGTTAAGCTCCCGGAGAAAGCAGCCGAGGAAATCGTGCACCCAAGAATGACTACGACCCCGCACGCAGGCACCGCTTCGGCGTCGTCAGGGCCTTGCAGGCCTTTGCAGCGGAGGTCGGGGGGCTCATACAGGTGACCTTTGTGAACGACGGCAACGGCTGCGACGACAAGCCGTCTTGGTACATGGTGAAGCCGTGAAGCATGAATCATCTGGGCAGTTTGCTACACCCAATGGTCTTTTCGGGCACACTTCAAGATGTGGCCCCGTATTTTGCAACGAGCCCCCCGAAAGAGAACATCCCATGAGTGGAGCCTTATTTCCCGTGGCTTTGAGCTGTGATGGGGCTGGACTTGCCATGCATCTTCGCCAGCCTACGCAAAGGATCGGGGCTCCGGGTGTGTAAAAAACGCCACAGCATGAAGGACTTGGCCCCGTGCAGCTCTTGGGGGGTTCTGGGTTTCGGGGCTTCGGGGTTTCGGGGTTTCGGGGTTTCGGGGCTTCAGGGTTTCAGGTTTCAGGGTCGCAGCTGTCCTGGTGAAATCCCACTGTTCTTGCAGGGCTCAAGCCGGAACCCGCTTTGAAGCCGAAAACCCTGCACCCGAAACTCTAAACCCTATCTATACATTTTCAAACCTACGGCTGAGGTTGAGGGCTTTTGGAATTGGAGTCCTTTTAGCGTGTTAGGGTCAGTGCTCTTTGGCCGTTGGTTTTGAAAATCCGGTCTTGTGCGTGAGCGTCACTGGGTGGTTGTGAGAGGATTTCCGGGGAGTAGGATTCGAGGAGTGTCGGCTGTCTCTTGCAGCGTGCTCGGTGCTCGGCGGCCCACGTTTGGCTCTTACGCAGTAGCTGGAAGAGTCTTTGGTCGTGCCCAAAACGGGCGGCCAGAGATGCGACCGTCAGTGGCTTGGTGGAGTTAGAAGTGCATACTTCCGCCTTGAATTGCTAGAGTTTAGATTTTGAGTTTTAGGCATGGCATTGGAGTGAGACCCCGTGGAAACACCACGAGAGTGAGCAGCTCCATTAGAAGGCTTTCACAAGACTTTGGCGTCACACTCATCTTTTCTACTATGAGGGACCCATACTACTCTAAGATATGCGAAACATTTATTCAGTCCCGATTCCCTAAATATATACCAGTTTCATGCGATGCCCGCTTTACCCTCACACCCTAAACCCTGAAGGGCGTGCTCACAACCCTGAACCCCCCCCCCCTCCCCTCCGAAGCCGTCATGGTATTTATGAACCAATTATAACTGTACTCATAACCCACTTATACGCCCCTTAGGGTGCCCGAACATGGTCAGAAGCACAGTTATAAGTACAGTTGCAATTTGTTAATAAGTACCATGAACCTCCAAGTAGGGTTTTTGGGCGGATTGAGGTTCAAGGATTTCTTTAAGAGGGCGGTGGGGTTGGGGAGTTAAGGGTTGAAATGGACTTGGGAACCCTAAGCCCTAAACCCTCAACCCGAGGCCCTACGCCCTACGCCCTAAGCCCTAAACCCTAAACCCTAAACCCTAAACCCTAAACCCTAAACCCTAAACCCTGAACCCTAAACCCTAAACCCTAAACCTTAAACCCTAAACGCAAAGGAGCTTTTCTCTGGCAGCGCCCATGTCCCGGTGGCGTTGGGACTAGCACCGCCTCTCCCTGTGTTAGAGGCGGCGGTGGATGGTGAGACCGAGGACAGCAGGGTTTGGTGTTCGGTGATTGAGGGGATTTAGGGGGTTTAGGGGGTTTAGGGTTTAGGGTTTAGGGTTTAGGGTTTAGGGTTAGGAATCTCGGCTTCTCAGCTCTTTGGTTCCCCTGTTGTGTTAGGTTGCAGGTCTTTTTCGGGCTGCAGTAGAGGCTGCGGGCTGAGGGCTTGAGGCGTTGCTGTGGGGTAGCTCCCTTCATGCGGCTGTTCACCCCAAGAACTACGATGGTTTCTCGAAATCTATCCCACTCCCCCCCCGCCCCCCGCAAAGAAAAACAGAAACGGAATCCCAATTTGTCATAGGAGCCCCCCCCAGACGTGTACTATTTTGGAAGACCCCCCCCAGCCATGGTCAAGATGGCATCCCGAGGTTGGGTTTTGATGAGCCTGCAAACTCCAAACCTAAACCCCTGAACAACGTGGGATGCTCCCCCTTATATTAACAATCCAAAAAACGGGTGGTACGCGAATCCCCCCCCAAGCCGCCCCAAAGCCCCCTCAACTGGGCGTAAACAACAACCCTTAAACCCCAAGGCCCCAAGCACCCAACCCCAAACCCTAAATTCTAGACCCCTGAACCGTAAACCCTAAACCCTAAACCCTAAGCGCCGAAAACCGTGAAAGCTTGAAAGCGTAGTTAATCGAGTTCCCCATGTTGTGAAGCAGGACGCCTCTATTTCGCTCTGGCCAGCGGGGTGGCCCAGAGACGTATTCCTGGTATTCGGGTTTAGGGTTTAGGGTTTAGTCTCGGGGCGTTTTTGTTTTTTAATGTTGGGGCTCAGCTTGCGGGTTTGAGGGTTTGTTGTTGCGGCTCTCGGCGGTTCTGTGCTTTCCGGCAAGTTCGCATGTGGCGATGGTGCACGGAGTGTGTGCGAAGCTCTGAAGCTCATTTCGCCCTGCTAAGGTCCGAACTCATCCGCTCCGACCCCTAACCAGAGACTCCAAAACCCCTTAATTAAGGAATATACCTTAAATTATAGTAGGAACCCTAATATGATTTAAGGGAATATTCCTTAATTAAGGGGTTTTGGAGTCTCTGGGTAACCTTAACATCCCCCCCTTGTAGTAAGCTGTGCTCCCATGAAAGTATATTGTGGTCTGCGGAGAATATTCTCACAAGGGGGGGAGGGGGTTTTGGTGTCAGGGGGTTTAGGTACCCGGAGGGGGTTTATAAGGAATGTCCTGTACTGGAGGCACAGGGGCGCAGGGCACTGAAACAGTTGAGGGGGGGGGGAGGGCCTGCGCGGCGTCTGGGAGCGAAAGTATTTAGGTTTTGCTCCGGGAGCTCAGATGAGGTTACCATGAAAACCTCAGCCCCTACAAACTGCAACCCTGATTCCTGACCCTGAAAACCCTGAGCCCTAAACCCTCAACCCTCAACCCTCAACCCTCAACCCTCAACCCTGAACCCTAAACCCTAAACCCTAAGCCCTAAGCCCTAACCCCAAAAGGGTCCACAAGCAAGCGGGCAGGCTGGTGAGGGCGAGTCCTCGTCCGTCTGGCGCCACAAGAAGGCCAGGCTCTTGCTTGCCCTCATAGGGTTTAGGGTTTAGGTTTTAGGGATTCGGTTTAGGGTAGGGTTTTGCCTTCACTCCTCTGCCAGGAGTTTCAGGGTTCAAAGTTTAGAGTTTAGGGCTGAGGGTTAAGGGTTTAAGGGTTTCTAGTAGTCGGGATGTGTAAGGGTTCAGAAGTTAGGTTTTAGGGCTTGGGGGGGGGGTCCCTTTTTGAACAGCCGTCTTTCCCAGGGTTCGGCATCTCATGTGTGTGTGCGGGGTTTAGTTTAGGGCTTAGAATTCTGCTTTGTGTATTGAATTTGTGCAACCGACAGCGAAAGGTCCCCCCAACCCTAAATCCTAAACCCTAGGCCCCGAACCTTTGAAAGAATCCCCATCTGGGGATTTCGGGCCCTATGAGTCTAGGGCCTTGCTGTTCACAGCCGTCCCTGTACCCAACCCTAAGCACCCTCAACCCTTAAGCTTCAACCCTAGGGTTCAGCCCAGGTGCAGGAGCTGGTGTTGAAGTTCTGGGACTTGTTCAAGCCCCTTGTTCCGCAAGCCTTCAACTGCCGGGATATGAGGGGTTGAGGGCTTATATACCTCTCAGAACCCTGAATCTTCAAAGGCCGGCTAGAGCCTAGAGCTTTGCATCGTCAAAGTCCTCGAGGCCACCCCACTCGACTTGGCTGATCCACTGTAGGATGCCCCCGCCCAAGTCCCTTCCCCGCCCAAAGCAACAAAGCAACCAAGCTGAGGAAAGAGGAGGATTCCACAATTCTCAAAGATGCTTACGATGCATTGGTGCTCCGCTTCGTGCGAATCTACTTGCCCGGACTGACAGAGGCCGCGGTACTGGGATAGTTCTGGAGATGTGATGAGGCATACCCTAAACCCTAAACCCTAAACCCTAAACCCTAAACCCTAAACCCTAAACCCTAAACCCTAAACCCTAAACCCTAAACCCTTGGAGGTTACGAAAGAGTTGGTGGCGGGGTTCGTGTTGATTTGCTTCCTGGTCCTGTCTTTCGCATACTCCTCGGTCTGGCTTGGGTCAAGCCCCAAGAAGCGTCAAACTCTAATCCCCTAAACCCAACACTTCCGGCCCCTCCCCTTCCCCCGCCCCACCCCCCCCCCCCCCCCCAAATAAATAAAAACAAAACACAAGAAGAGAAGTGAAAAAAGACCTAATATATATATATATCTCTATATATATATACACCTATATATATACACCTATATATATATATATATATATATATATATATATAGAGAGATATATATAGATATATAAACAGAGAGGTAAGAGTCCGCACTCCAGCTGTGCCCGAGTTAAAAACTACATGTTTTGGGCCCCCAGTGAGAACTGCCGAGCCTCTTTGTGCTGGTTCTGCCGACCCCACTCCCCCCCACTCTTGTGGGTTTAGGGTTTAGGGTTTAGGGTTTAGGGTTTAGGGTTTAGGGTTTAGGGTTTAGGGTTTAGGGTTATACTACCCCCCTGGGTCCCCCCCATAACTCAGGCTATTTGGGGATAACTCAGCCAAGGTTATTTTAAGGGGGAGCCTAGGTTGAGTAGTATAGAGGGGGGTAGTAGGGAAACCCATGAAACACGGGGTCGGGACAGATGTCATGGGCCACCGGGCTAGATCTCTTCGAATGCCCTGTACCCAAATCCTCAACCCTAAACCCCAAACCCTTAGCCCTCAACCCCTGAACCCTAAACCCCAAGCCCCAAACCCTAAACCCTAAACCCTGAACCCCTTGCGTTCCTTTTTGGGTCTCTTCGGCCGCGGATTCCACAGACGTCTGGAGGACGCCGAGGCAAAGCTTTGCGCCAACAGCTGGCAGGAGGCCAGGTTTTCCTGCCAGAGCTTCAGGGGCACCCTAAACCCTAAACCCTGAACCCTAAACCCTAAACCCTAAACCCTAAACCCTAAACCCTAAACCCTAAACCCTAGAACCTAAACCCTAGACCCTAAACCCTAAACCCTAAACCCTAAACCCTAAACCCCTAAACCCCTAAACCCCTAAACCCCTAAACCCCTAAATCCTAAACCTTAAACTCGAAACCTAAAACCCTAAGCCCGAAACCCTAAGACCCTTAGAACCCCTTAAGCCCTTTAAGCCCGTGTAAAGCCCGAAACCCTGAAGCCTTAGCCCTAAGCCCCAAACTCTATTCCGAAACCCATACGAATATGTGAATATACACATATATATATATATATATATATTTTTTTTTTTTTTTTTGCTTGTGTTTTTTGGTGTGCGTGTTCTTTCTTTGGGGGGGGTTCGAGTTAGGGCCAAGGGGGTTTGGGGCTTCGGGCCGAGGTTGGCCAGCTTTAGGGCTGCCGACCGCGCAGCCCCCCTTTAGGGTTCAGGGTTCAGGGTTCAGGGTTTAGGGTTTAGGGTTTAGGGTTTAGGGTTAGGGTTCAGGGTTTAGGGTTCAGGGTTCAGGGTTTAGGGTGTAGGGTTTAGGGTTTAGGGGGTTTAGGGGTTGGGCCCATATTGCAACTACTGGATTCGTCATCTGCATTAATAGAGGGGCCTTAATAATTAGAATAGGGTCTTGGGGGTTATTCTAGTATAGTTATACAGGGACCATAGGGGAATAAAATTAGTACTTTTTCCGACCCCTACATTATCCGAGCTTGCTTGCTTCCTGGAGTTAGCAAGAGTGCAGATATTTCCTGGCGCATAAGCTGCATTGCACAACGGGCAGAGTGACAAGCAGAATGAGAACATCATTCAGCACCGGATCTACTATGCGGTCTTCATGCGGATGCTGGTTTACTTGTATCTGTGGTTCTTGCGCAATCTTGCGCACGCTTTCGTGCATGAATTTACAAGCGAACGGAAAAACTATACCAAGCCCCAAAAGCCCGCAAAAACCTTACACCCCCTGAATCCCAAGCCCCCCCAAACCACGCATCTGCTTCTTGGCACACAGCAGTCGATCCGAAAAACCTTCAAGAAAACCCTGCCTCAAAGGCCTCTGAAGCCTTGATGAGCCCCTGAAAACCAGACCGGGCCCTGAGGTCCTACAAGGACGCCCTAAGCAGGAAAAAGCCTCAGAAGCCTGTAGAGTAAGATTCCCAGAAGCCCGAAGCCACACAGAAAATGCAAAGAATTTCGAAAGCACTGGTTTTTTTTGGCGCGGAGACGTAGGGTTTGCTGGGGTTGGTTGGGCTCAGGGGCTGCAGCCTTCCATACTAGGACGCGCGCTACAGGAGTAAAGGAACCCTAAACCCTAAACCCTAAACCCTAAACCCTAAACCCTAAACCCTAAACCCTAAACCTGGGTTGAGGATTTCGGGGTTTCGAGGATTTAGGGCCGACTTGGAGGCTCATGGGTCGCTCCAACCGGGGTTACAAGTCGGATGAAGGCCATGATCTTACTCACGGGATTCCATGCCTCGGAGAGCTTGTAAGCCGTCCCTAAACCCTAACCCCTAAGCCCTAAACAAGGCCCAGGAGCCCCGCTAACACTCATGGCCTGCATGCGGGAATTGATCTTGCATACTTTGGGATGGTCCCCCCTGATACTAACAGTCCTTAATAGGGATTACAGTAACCCCCCCCTGTTACTGGCAATTGCTTAAGAACCTCCCAAAGAATAAAAGACAGTATTCCTTACAAGGGCGATATCAAGAGATTGTTACATTTTTATGCTTTTGGGGTTCTTAAGCAAGTGGTTAACCTAGTCCCTGTTCGTATAAGGGAGAACATCCCAACCCTACCCTAAATCCTAAACCCTAAACCCTAAACCCCTAAACCAATGCATACCGGGATGGGCCCCAGGATTCCCATTAAACGAAAGTGCCTTCGAGTCCAGGGTGCTTAAAACGGCCCAGAACCCTCAACCTAAACTCGAAACCCTAAACCCTAAACCCGAAACCCGAAACCCTAAACCCTAAACTCCAAACCCAAAACCCTGCAACCCTAAAACCTGAACCCCAAACCCTCAAACCTTTAGTCAGCCAGGCTGCGCTGGGAACCGACCGCCTGGATCTGGCAAAGTTCTTCCAAGGTTTGGCTGCTCGTCTGCGTTGTGGAGGGGAGGTATAGGGGTTTAGGGTTTAGGGTTTGGGGGGGGAGAAATTCAGCCGTCGGGATCTGTGGGGTATGGAGGGCTTTTGGAGGGTTTAGGGTGTCGAGGTTTGAATGTAATTTGGCGGATGCACTCCATGGCTCCCCTAAACCCGAAACCCTGAACTTTGGGATGTTCCCCCTTATACTATTCGTCCTTTTTGGGATTCGAATAGGGGTACTATAATCCTTACTAAGGACTGCAAGTACAAGGGGGAACATACCAACCCTGAACCCTGAACCCTGAACCCTAAACCCTACAGTAAACCCTAAACCCTAAACCCTAAACCCTCTTTTACTATGTATATTTAAACCCTAATGACCTTCGTGGGCATGTGGTTTTTTTCTGGGCCCTAAACCCTGACCCCCTTCGTGGGCAAATGGTTTTTTCCTGGGCCGTGCCTCCAAAAAGACCCCAGGATCGGCCCGGGTCCCAGTTCAAAATGTGATTTTTTAGTACTGAAATCGACGGTTCTGGGTGGGCTCTCGTTTTCTGGATTTTTGATCAAAACCGAGCCTTTGGGCCCTAAACCCTGACCCCCTTCGTGGGCAAATGTTTTTTTTCCACCCGGGGGGGCCCTAAACCCTGACCCCCTTCGTGGGCAAATGGTTTTTTTCCACCCGGGGGCCCTAAACCCTGACCCCCTTCGTGGGCAAATGGTTTTTTTCCACCGGGGGGGGGGGGGGCCCTAAACCCTGACCCCCTTCGTCGGCAAATGGTTTTTTTCCACCGGGGGGGGGCCCTAAACCCTGACCCCCTTCGTCGGCAAATGGTTTTTTTCCACCCAAGGGCCCTAAACCCTGACCCCCTTCGTCGGCAAACGGTTTTTTCCCACCCGGGGGGGGGCCCTAAACCCCCCCTTCATCGGCATATTGTCTGGTGGGCCTCTGGGGCATAGGGTTTAAAGGCACGGTTTGGGGCATAGGGTTTAGGGCCCTGAGGGTCCCCCACCCCCCCCACCCCCCCCCACCCCCCCCACCCTCCCCCGCCACAGTAGGTTGAGAGTTAGATTTCGGGTTTTGAGCCGACTGGACCTTAAGCTTTAAGCCTACTGGGAATGTATTGAGTGATTTTTGTATTTTCTCAATGTTATGGGTTTCTTGGGTGGGTGGGGTTTCATTCCAACACTTGACAAGCTGCTTGACTAGTGAATGCTCGGACTTGAGATGCTGAACCCTAAACCCTAAACGCTAAAACCCAAGGTCCGCATTGCCCAGTCTTGGTGCGACTCCAACTCGGCGGATGCCGCCTGGCTTTGGACTTGGGATGTTCCCCCTTATACTCAGGAAGGGTTTACGGTTAGGGTTTAGGGTTTAGGGGTTCAGGGTTTAGGGTTTAGGGTTTTAGGGGTTTAGGGTTTAGGGTTTAGGGTTTAGGCGTCTTGACGATGGAGGCAAGAGGTCTAATATAGGGGTCGGAACAATTGCTAAGAATATTCCCTTATGGCCCCTGTATATTATACTAGAATATCCCCCCCAAAACCCCATTCTAATCATTCAGGCTCCTACATGATGCAGGTTGGGGGCCTTGGGGTTTAGGGTTTAGGGTTTAGGGTGTAGGGTTTAGGGTTCGGAGGTAAAAGTCCACCACCCCGCCTTTCCCCCCAAGAAAGGTTGCGTTGGTAAGTTGGAGCTGCTGCGCTGCTTGTAAGCTATACTAGAATATCCCCCCCAAACCCCATTCTAATCATTCAGGCTCCTATTGGGGGCCTTGGGGTTTAGGGTTTAGGGTTTGTTACACCCAAAACACGAAGCCCACGGACCTCCCGGCGACCTCCACGGGCCTAAGCCTGCAAGCCCGCAGCTTCGGACGCAAAGCCGAAGTCCCAGTGCAGCAAATTAAGCGCTACAATCATGAGTCCATCGCTCTAGCCCTAAACCCTAAACCCTAAACCCTAAACCCTAAACCCTAAACCCTAAACCCTAAACCCTAAACCCTAAACCCTAAACCCTAAACCCTAAACCCTAAACCCTAAACCCTAAACCCTAGACCCTACACCCCGAGCCTTAAGCCCTGGATCCTGATGAGCTAGGGAAAGGGGGGAGGGGGGGTTTCTTGAAGCCTCAATGCCCGGCTGGCCCACACCCCAGCCATGGCAGGGTTTAGGGTTTAGGGCTTAGGGTTTAGGGTTTAGGGTCTAGGGTCTAGGGTTTAGGGTTTAGGGTTTAGAGTTTAGGGTTTAGGGTTTAGGGAGCCTGAACCCTCCAGGATTACGTCGGCTTTCTCGAGGACCTGCTGAATCGGTCCACCTGCATCCAGGATGCAAATTTAGGATTGGGGGGCTCCATGAGTTCACCCTAAACCCTAAACCCGAAACCCTAAACCCTAAACCCTAAACCCTAAACCCTGAACCCTGAACCCTAAACCGCGCCCACGCAGAGGAGCCCATAGATCTCACGGAGCCATGCGGCGCCCTACATGCCCCGAATTTCGAAACCCCGAGCCCTGACGCGACTGAGGCTTTCGAATCTCGGACCCGCTGACCGGCGAGGCAGGGCATGGTTTGGGGTTTTGGGCCCCGGAACCTGCTGCCCTACTATAGGGATCCCACGTATGAGCCCTTGCTATATACAGTACTTGTGCATATAAGGGGACAAAGCAAGGAGGGGGGACCCGAATTCAGGGCCCCATGCTTCGGATCCCTTAGTAAGCCCCAAGAAGCCCTGCACCTAGGGGTGCCCTTGGAGCACTAGGAGCCTCCCAGATTCAGGTTCCACAGCCCCCCCCCCCCCTTAAAAGTCAAAATTGTGCGCGAGAGAGAAGCAGAGTCTCTTCCTCACTCCCATGTCTTCCATGTCTTCCGTCATTCCGTTGGGCAAACGACGTCAGAAAACATTTGGACCTTTGCAGGTCACTCAGGCTTCAAGGCTGCCGACTAGGTCGAAGCATGGCGCGCGTCGAGTCTCGCTTTACCTTTCTTGACGTGCTCTTGGAGGACGAGGAGCGGGGCAAAGACCTTCGTGCCGGGCGTGCTCGCAGTGAGCCGCCGCTTTGCCCGGAGATTCCGGAGTCGCCGCGCAGCTCTGAGGAGGCCCTGGGGAGTTGCCTGCGCATCGTGCGCACTCTGCCGACGGTGGGTTTGGGTCAGGTGCCAACATCCTTGGTGCCGGCCGCGCCCGGGGTGCCCACGCTTCGAGCTCAGGACGAAGCACGGAAAGAAGCGCCGCCAAAGCTGGCGACCTCGGAGGCCTCGGAGGCCTCGGAGGCCTCGGAGGCCCCGGTGCTCAGTGCGGGGAGCCTGGGGCATCCGGAGCTTTGCCAGCGCCCGTGCCTGCATGTCGTGGTCGGGAGGCGCTGTGAGGCGGCTGCTGCGTGCAACCATTGCCACCTTCCGCACGCCCGTGGCCAGAGGATGGACAAGCGGCAGCGCCGCATCCTCGAAGAGATGCCCAAGGCCGACTTCCTCCGCGTGGCCCTCCAGCTGCTCGAGGACAAGGCCCGCACCATGGATCTTCGTGGCACGGAGGTCCTCCTCGGCATCTTGGAAAGCGAGGTGCATCCTCAGGGCACGCCGGCACCATCTGGGGCCACTCCATGCAGCCTGCCGAACGGGATGATGCGCTGCTTGCGCGCCATGGGCTTCCGTAACGTGGCAAGCCTGGCTGCGCGGAAGTGCGCGGAGGGTGCCAAGATCCGTATCCGTGAGGTGATGCAGACCCTGCGGGCGCGTGTGTCTGAGGGGCAGGCTGATGGAAACTATTCAGACTCAGATGAGACATGTTAAGTAGCATCTTTACATGGCAGTCAGTGAGGGGCTGCCCGGCTTGAAAGACTCTTCCAGCACCTTAGAATGTCCACTGTCGCATGCTGTCAGCCGACAGTCGGGGCGTCCCAGCTATCAGTCAGACATTTTGTTTCACACGCAACTTCGTACATACAATCCAGTACATCTTCCAGAAGTTGAGTAGCAGGCCAATACATTACAGCTGCAAGGGCTTGAGCACCAGGCCAACAATACATCTGCAAGAGCTCGAAAGCAGCGACTCTAAGTGGGAAGCCTTCGTGGGAGGACGGTCTTGCAGACCTATCTTAGAACATGTGTTCTATTATTACTTATTACTACTACTATTATTATTATTATTATTATTATATTATTATTATTCTTATTTTTTATTATTCATAATATTATTGTTAATCTTATTATGTGTCGGCTCCTGCTTCCACCGAAGTCACCTTGATGTTCGCACACGTCGACCCAGTCTTGGGCGTTTGCCAGGCGCGCAGGACAGAGCTGCGTTGCTCGATGCCTGAAAGGCTTCGTCTGGGCTCTTCCTAAGGGACTCAAGTTAAGTTACCATTTAGGGTTTAGGGTTTAGGGTTTAGGGTTTAGGGTTTAGGGTTTAGGGTTTAGGGACCAGACTCAGGGCGCCATTTACCACATGACCCCCCATGATGGGAAGTTGATTCAAGTTCCTGAGCCGGAGCCCTGTCATTTCATGAGGGTCCTTTCTTGTCACCAAGAGTGTCTCGGCGAAGTGGAGTGGTCCGGGTTGATGATCGTGCGGGTTTAGGGTTTAGGGTTTAGGGTTTAGGGTTTAGGGTTGGACCATCTCCCAAGGCGTCTCCGCGGACTACAGTGCACTCGTTTCTGTTTTTGGTCCTAAAGACCAGGTACTTTGTCTCGTGCGTGCCTCCTGGCAAAATTGGTGCAAGAGAAGCAGAGTCTCTTCCAACCCCAAACCTTAAACCCTAAACCCTAAGCCCTAAACTTGAAACCCGAAACCCCAAACCCCAAACCCAAACGAGCAAGTCAAAGCCCTCCGTTCATCAAGAGCACCCTCTGGCCCCCCACCCCCCCTTGAGCCAGAAGCCGAAGCCCTGAACCCTTTTCTGAAGAAAGCGCACACACGCGGTCTCGTGTATCCACTGAAGCACACGCTGAGACGCTACAAGCCATGCCGCACTCTACACCCTGAACCCTCCTCACCCTTGAAGCCTACACACCCTTGAACCCTAGACCCTAGACCTAGACCCTTGAACCCTAGACCCTAGACCCTAGACCCTAAACCCTAAACCCTAAACCCTAAACCCTAAACCCTAAGCACCGTTGAACCCTAGACATCCTGAATCTGGGGCCCGACGCCCTCAGCCCCTGGAGGTGTGCAGTGAGCAGCCGCTGCTGAGGGTGTCCTTCCGGGCCGTGGCACGCGGGGACGACCTGGTGCAAGGACCGGGCTTCTTTTGGGTGTTCTTGGGGGCGGGCTTCGTGGCGTGCGTGCGTGCGTGCGTGGGTGGGTGCGTGCGTGCGTGGGTGGGTGGGTGGGTGGGCGTGGGTGTGGTGTGTGTGTGTGTGTGTGTGTGTGTCTTTTGGTATGCTTATGCTTATGCTCAAACCCCAGACCCCAAACTTTTTTTTTGTAACTCAGAGAAGTGCCCACATGGGTCTGGGTGAGCTGAATCCGGAAGGGTTGAGGCGGGAAGAATTGCCAGCGTCAGGAGAAACAGTCATGAACAGAAGTCTTGAGGAATGTCACACCTTGAAGCCCTAAGCTTAGGGTCTAACCCCTGCGTCCCAAACCCTGAACCCATTCCGATTAAAGGGGGCAGGGTGAACCTAGTAACAATCCTTTAATGCAGTCTGAGGATTCCGAAACCAGCTGAGTCCCTACACCTCCAACCCTCCCAAGCCTTAAGTGAAAGGGTTCTTAAGGGAGGGGGGCTCAAGGGGGGTTTGGTACCTAGGGAACCTTAGGGAAGCTTAGGGAGCCGGAGTAGTGGGGGAGGATTAGGGAACCTAATGGTGACATGCCCCCCTTGAACCCCCGTCCTTTAAGAACCTGTTATGAAGCCCCAAGTCCTAAAACCCTTCAACCTCCAATCGAGGTGGTTTTGGGTGTAGGGTTTGCCGGGGTCTGCGGTATAGTGTCAGCGCATGATGGCGCGTACACCCTACCGGTACCCTACCGGTACCCGGGCCGAAGGCAGCAAACTTTTATACAGGCTGGTAGCAGCTGGGCATGACATTTGTTTCGGGCCTATTTAAAGGGTTCCGAGGGGGTTTCGGGTCCTCCACACAACCCTCTAAGCCTTCAAACCCTCCAGGCCCCTAAACCCCCCGTAAGCCCTCTGAACCCCAAACCCCCCGACCCCAAACCCCCCGAAACCCTACACCCTCCACCTTCGGTGACCCCCAAAAGCGCGAACCCCATAAACACCAGAAACCCTATAAGCCCTCTAAGCCCTCTAAAGCCTTATGAAGCCCCTAAACCCCTAAACCCCGAAACCGGAAGCCCTAAACCGAACACCGCTAAATCCTTAAACCCTCAAACCCCCTAAACCCTTAAACTCCAAACGCCACGCAAAAATCCAGAGTTTTTGTCTCTCTGGTGCCCCCCAAACCCCCCCTTTCAGCCCCTCCTGCACCCGTTTAAGCAAATCCTCCTCCTCTCTCGCGCTTAAAGGAGACACAAACCCCCAAAGCCCCTAAACCCTAAGCCCTTCACCCTTAAACCCTAAACCCTTAAACCGGAAATGCCACAAGAACCCGAAACCCTAAACCCTAAACCCGAAACCCTAAACCCTAAACCCTAAACCCCAAACCTCATTCCCTCTGGCGCTTCACAAGGAGGCACCTGCGAGTTCTGCGAGTGCATGGACCTGGTCTGCAACGGGACCCCGGAAGCTGCCGAGGCCACTCAATCCAAGCTCATGTCGGTGGGGGTTGGTTTAGGGTTTAGGGTTTAGGGTTTAGGGTTTAGGGTTTAGGGTTGCGGGTTTAGGTCGACAGGCAAGGGCTTCTCGGAGGGGGTTTCGGTGCTTCCTTTAGTTCGTTACTACTTCTTGTTGTGATTCTAATCATTGTTGTTATTGTTACTACTATTTTTTTAGGTTTTTTGTTTGGGGTTCAGGGCTTTTAGCTGTTTCGGTTTGCAGGGTTGTTAAGGTTGCAGGGGTTTAGGGGTCGGGTGTCATCGGCTCACAGGGTTTTAGGCTTAGGTTTTTTTTGTCGTTGCAGGTAGGAGGAGTCAAGTTTCAGAGGTTTGGGGTTTAAGGGTTTGGGTTTAGGTTTTTGGGCTTACAGTTGTGTGGCATGGTTCCGGGGCTTGCAGAATGCACATGGGGTTCAACTTGGATTCAGTGTTCTTGGGACAAGAGCTGAACACTGAAGCCTAAGCCCTACTTGGAGGTTCAGGGTACTTATAACCCAATTAGAAGTGTAGTTATAACCCCCTTATAAGCCCCTTAAGTAGAAATAGTGTTATAATTGGGTTATATAAGTACAGTTATCATTGGGTACTAAGCACCATGAACCTCCAAGTAGCCCTAAACCCTAAACCCTAAACCCTAAACCCTAAACCCTAAACCCCAAAACCCTAAACCCTAAACCCCAAAAATTCGACCGTGGGCTCCCCAGGATCCTTGGGTGCTGGGAGGTGCATGGGGTAGCTAGATCTGGAGGAAGCAGCCACCCCGCCGCGCCACGGGTCAGTGATGCTCCCTAGGGTTTAGGGTTTAGGGTTTAGGGTTTAGGGTTTAGGGTTTAGGGTTTAGGAATACGCCCGCAACATACTGAAGAAGGGTTCAGTACCCTGTTCTTGGAAGCCCCTTCAACCCTAAGCCCAACACCCTAAGCCCAAAATCCTAAGCCGAAAGCACGAAGCCCTGAACCCACAAGACCGGCCCGAAAAGCTCCTGAGCGCTTGGCGAAGGTGGAGGTGAAGTTCGACCAGGCAGAGTAGGGGGGTAAGGGTAAGGGTAAGGGGGGGTTAGGTTTCAGGGTGCAATTAGGGTTTACGGTTGAGGGTTTAGGGTTTAGGGGGGAGGGGGGTGCTGCATTCCTACAGCCCTGCGCCTTGACTCCTGCCTGAACCCCCTCCCATCAGATGAAATGACAAAGGGCTTGGGGTGTTTTTTTGGGTTTAGGGTGGCTGGGTTTAGGGTTAAGGGTGATTCGGGTTTAGGGTTTAGGGTTTAGGGTCGCGATTCAGCTGGGCTCGCTGGCCAGGGCCAACTGGGCATAAACTTCCACACCTGCTTCTTCGAGGTCGGAAGGTCTAGGGTTGAGAGTTTGAGGACCCAAGCAGGCTTAGGCTTTGAGGGTTTCGGGATGCGTTGGAGGTTGGTTTCCCAGGAAAACTAGCGGAAAGGAGAGCCGTCTCACGTTGACTCGGACACATCTTGGGAGTTCTATGGGCCCGAATTCCGTTGCTACCTGTGATATGGTGGAGGCGATGCGAAACTCCCGTCATGCCAAGCTTGCGGAGACCCAAACCCCTCTTTAGGGTTTAGGACACGCCTTACAGAGCTTTCACCAGCCAGCTTTAGTCAGATTCAGGACAGCAAGGAAGCTTCACGTTCCGGCGCCGTTCCAGGGACTGACCCTGCAAATTCCCGAACATTAGGCACAAAGCGCGCTTTTTCTGCGCGCATGCTCGCCTCGCACACTCAACAGTTCACAAAACCCCCTGAGATCTCATAGGGCGCCAAGCTTCAAGCCCTAAGCCTTAAGCCTAAACCTCTCAAGCGCGCCAAACCAGACTCCAAGCCCGAGACCCCACGATCGAAAGCCAGTATTGCCTCCCCTTACAAACCTGCAGGTCCCATATGTCGAATTCAGACTAGGAAGCTGAATGCCCTGTTTTCGAAAGATGGGGAAAGAGGGGCCCTAAACCCTAAACCCTAAACCCTAAACCCTAAACCCTAAACCCTAAACCCTAAACCCTAAATCCGAAACCCTAAACCCTAAACCCTAAACCCTTAACCCTAAACCCTAAACCCTAAACCCTAAACCCTAAACCCTAAACCCTAAACCCTAAATCCTAAATCCTAAACCCTAAACCCTAAACCCTAAACCCTAAACCCTTAAACCCTTAAACCCTTAAACCCTAAACCCTAAACCCTAGACCTGAAACCAAGTCCTGGGAACTGGCTCTCCCCTCACTCCTTGACCTAAATCGCCACGCCCGAGCCCAAGCCCGCCGCCCTTTACCTGAAGCTCTGAAGACTGCACCTAAAGACTCTACATGCCAAACCCTAAAGCCCTGAAACCTTAAATCCGAAAATCCTAAACCCTACACCCTAAACCCTAAACCCTAAACCCTAAACCCTAAGCCCTAAACCCTAAACCCTAAACCCTAAACCCCAAACCCTTAACCCTTTGTCCCTGACATCCTAAACCCCTCAAGCCCAAGCCATTGGGCAGGAATCCGCTGCAGCAGTGCCTGCGATCGATGGGGCTGCAGAGCGCGCCAGGCTCTCAACACTGAAGGGCTTTTAGGGTTTAGGGTTTAGGGCTTTGAAGAAGGGTGACGCCCTCCCTACATGAGCAAGAGCTGCGAGATTGTCACTGCGGTTCGTCTTCCTTGTTATTGCTTCGTTTGCTTGTGTATGCTTTACTAGTGCTTTAGTTTTTTGTGTACTAGAGTTTTGGGGTTTTTACTGGTGTTACCATGATGACTTGTAGGAAGAGCATTCTTTTCCTTCTTGCTATGGCACTATTTGTTCTTCTCCGCAGTGCTTTCCTTGCACTTGTAATCTTCATGGCTGTCATCATCATAGCTACTTAACCCTAAACCCTAAACCGTAAACCCTAAACCCTAAACCTAAACCCTAAGCCCTAAGCCCTAAGCCCTAAGCCCTAAGCCCTAAGCCCTAAGCCCTAAACCCTAAACCCTAAACCCTAAACCCTAAACCCTAAACCCTAAACCCTAAACCCTAAACCCTAAACCCTAAACCCCAACCCCTGGGGCGCCTGCGGGCTCAATGCAGAGGGTATGAAGGGGGCTTAGAGCCGTAGGTCCTTTGAAGGATGGCTTTAGGGTTCTTAGGGTTCTTTAGGGTTCTGAGGGTTCTTAGGTTCTTTCACAAGGCGCCTGGAAAAGGCGCCGAAATTCAGTTTCCCTACAAAGAACTATGCAGGTGTTGCTCCATGGGGGTGTGTCGGGTCATGGGTAGGTGCAACTGGTATTGTAGGCAGAGCAACTGTACCCCAAAACCACAAGCCCTAAAGATTTGGGGGGCATACCTGCAACCTTGTCCATGACTATGAGCCTTCAATCGCCAGACCCCCTCGGTGTACAGTCGTTGCGATTTAAGGCTTGGCCTTTGGGGTATAGCAGTCCGCTGACAGGTGCACTCAAAACGTTGAGACAGAAGCCGAATGCTTTGGTAAACCCTAAGCCCTAAGCCCCAAATGAAGGTTGTTCCATATTTGGGCCTGTTACACCCTAAACCCTAAACCCTAAACCCGAAACAGCCGGCTACTCCTAGTATACAGCAGGACCCCGATCGTCTAAGGTCTGGTCATCTCTGGACTTAGTTCGGCCTCTAGGCTTCGCGGTGGCGAAGGCCAAGGGTGGTGCTCGGTTTCGGGTTCCCTTAGAGTTTAGGGTTTAGGGTTTGCTGTGGAGTTCTAGGTTTTCAGGTCTACTGGGCGTACTTGGGTTTATAGGCTTTACGCTTCCGGGTAGGCCCTTGTTTTTTGTTAGCTGCCCTTATTCGGGATCCTATGTGGGAATATTTGTCAGCGGGTTCAAACGGCCAGCCTAGTTGTAGGTCATGGACTTTCCACGTTTCAGCGGGTATGACTACCACAGTTGAAACCTACCCCTGAACCCTAAACCCTAAACCCTAAACCCTAAACCCTAAAGCCTAAACCTCTCAGAAGGTGGTTTGCTTCAACCCTAAACCCTAAACCCTAAACCCTAAACCCTAAGCCCTAAGCCCTAAGCCCTAAGCCCTAAGCCCTAAACCCTAAACCCTAAACCCTAAACCCTAAACCGCGAAGGTTCGGAACAAGAGGTTCTTTCCTTAAGGGTCCGTGTACCTATATGGTCAGTTCTCTCAACCAGGGTCCCTAAATTTTGGGTACCCTAAATACGAGGGGCCGCCTCATCTCTTCATATAGTGATTATAGTACCCCTCGAATGTAATCCCTGTTGAGGACTGTTAGTATCAGGGGCAACATCCCAACCTATGTAGTATATATGTGGCCTTAAAGGGGGTTCCACTATAGTGGCTCTAGGGCCCAAGTATATACTCCATAGGTACATGGACCCTGAAAGCTGCCTTTAGGGTTTAAAGCCCTAAACCGTGAACCTTAAACCCGAAGCCCTTAACCGAAGTTCGGGGTGGGCTTATGTCGAGCTGAGGCCTTTTGGGAGGTTTTGTGGTGCAATGGTGTTGGTCTTTAAGGTTTAAACCCCGCACCCCCCTAAACCCTAAACCCTAAACCCTAAACCCTAAACCCTAAACCCTAAACCCTAAACCCTAAACCCCAAACCCTAAGCCCTGAGTTTTGCTCGGGGGTTTTCGGCCCCTGGGTTCAAAAGGGTCAAGAGCGTCACGCAAGAGGTCTTCGACGCATTGCGCGCATTCCCAGCCTTCACGCTGAACTGCAACGGCAAGAAGGCTGGCTTGTGAGTCGGGGGGTCGAGGGTTTGGGGGTTTAGAGGGTTTGGGGGGTTTTTAAGAGATTTTAGGGGGAGTTCAGTGGTTTTCGGGGATGTTCAGGGTTTTTGGGGGGCTTGACGGGTTTCAGGGGATTTTAGAGGGCTGATGTCGAGATGAGTGTTCGGGGTTCAGGGTTTCGGGTTCACAGGATTTCGGGGATCCAACATGGTAGCTAGCCCGAAACCCTGAATCCCTAAACGAAACCTTCCTGATACAGTTCTTAAGGGACGGAGGTTCATGGGGGGTGTCTAGCAAACCTTGGGAAGCTTAGGGCGTTTTAGGGAGTAGTGGGGAGTATGAGGGACCCTTAGGTTGCATACTTTCGGTGAACCCCCATCCCTTGAGAACCCTAGGGCCCGAGACACTACACCCTGAACCCTAAACCCTAGACCCTAAAGATTCCTCTCGACCTTAGGGAGACCTGCCCCACGTCGTCGTGGAGACTCTCACTGAGACCAGCACGTCCTCTCAGGCCGGGGAGGGGGGAGAGAGAAGGGGGGAGGGCTTTTTTGCCTCACCCCGCCCTGCAACGAACAAGAGAGAAGGAAGAAGAGAGAAATGGACAAAGACTGGGACTTTAACGAAGAGAAGAAAGAGATGCAGAATATGACAGATCCAAGAGATAGATGGAAAGCTGAGAAGAACGACAGCCGGACAGGAAGGTGAGACCACCACCACCGCCACCACCGCCCCCAGCACAAACCTGTAAAAACGCCACCTAGCTTCGAAGGAATTGTCGTGCTCTGGGTTTGCAGTACCAGTTTTTGGTCCAAAGACTTTCCTCGATGCTTTTGCAGTGCTATGCGAAAAGACGCGATGCCAAATTTTGTAAGCTCGCATTTCCCATGAACTGCCCCCCGCCCCTCAACACCGGCACAGACCATGCGCCTTGAGCCACCCCGCACACGCCTAAACCCTGAAGCTTAAAACCCTAAGCCCTACGCCCTAAGCCCCTAAACCCTAAACCAACGCTAACCCCCCAGCCCAAAGCAGCCCTCCACGCAAGAGGCGGTCCTGGAAGTCACCCCGGAGGGAGCCGTGACCTGCCAGGGTGCTGCGCTGAAGATCGACCAGCCCCCCAGTCGGCAAAAGAGTAGTTTAGGGTTAAGGGTTTACCTAAGGGTTTAGGGTTCAGGGGTTTAGGGGTTTAGGGTTTACGGATTTTGGGCTTGGGGTTTGGGATTTAGGGCTTACGTTTATGTCAGGGTCTTTTTGTTTTGGGTCTAGGGTTTGGGGCTTTGGGCTCAAACCTAACCATGGCACAACAAGAACACTAGCATCAAGAATGCCAACAGTCGCAGCAGTGGGAAGAATAAAACGTGCAAGTAGGAGTCAGGGTACCGTTAATGGTTACTTTGGCGCAACAAGAGGATGAACACATAGGAATAACAAACACAAACCTTGGAACTAACCCTAAACCCTAAACCCCAAACCCGAAACCCTAAACCCCAAACCCGAAACCCTAAACCCCAAACCCCAAACCCTAAACCCTAAACCCTAAACCCTAAACCCGAGGCTCGTGGCGCCCATCGTCAACGAAGGGATCCAGTCCGCCTCCTTCGTGCTGAAGCCCGAAAGGCGCCAGGTTTCAGGGCCTTTGTGGGGTTTAGGGGTCCACGGGTTCAGGGGTTTAGGGTTTGAGGTTTGGGGTTTAGGGTTTAGGGTTTAGGGGGTCTCAGTGCGTTTGAGGGGTTTTAGTTTTTGGATATTTTTAATATATATATATATATATATTTTTTTTTTTTTTTTTTTGGGGGGGGGGAGGGGGTTGGGGTTTCTAGGTTTGTTTTCGGGTTCAAGATATATGGATTTTCGGGGTTCAGGGTTTAAGGGCTTGGCCCCGGGTTCAGATGGGCATAGAGGGTTGAAGCTTAAGGGTTTATTGGGGATCTGAGCATCCTTTGTCACGAGTCCCTCCCCCCCAAACAGAAGAAAGCTCGGCGCCTTATAGGCTCATGGCATACTCTGGGTTCTTGCTGCAGTCACCAGATTCTCGAAAGCACATAGATCTTCAGCGGACCATTGCACGGGGCTAGTTTGGGGGGGTGGGCGGGGGTGGGGGGCGGGGGGGTGGGGGCCGGGGGTGGGCGGGGGGTGGGCGAGTGGGCGGAGGCGTAGGGGGCGGCGAAGGGGGGGGGGGTTGTAACGTGATGGGATGACGGTCTTAAGGAAGCCCAAAACATCCCTTGAACCTTGAACACCTTAAGCTACAAGGTCGTTGTGGTTGGCATTCAGGGTTGAGCGTTTGCTATGCAGGACGTCCGTGCTCTACAAGCTGACGGATCTGCGCCGGAGCCTCCTGCAGCTTGACCAACTAGTCTAGGACCCGGAGTAGGCCCTTATTCACATTTTTTCGAGGTAAGGCTGCCTTATAAGCCCCTTTTAAACCAAAAAAGGGCAAGGTTAATCTTGGGTCTAGTAGTAAGCCACCCCCCAAAAAATCCTCGAACGCTCCAAGCCCCGAATGCTAAGGTGTGACCCCCAATAAACAATTTCCAGTATACGATCCATGAACATTTTAAACTCATCATGAAATGGTTAAACTCACCATGAAATACTCACCAAGAAGTTTTAAACACACCATGAAATTTTAAACACACCATGAAATGTTAAACTCACCATGAAATGTTTAAACTCACCATGAAATGTTAAACTCACTATGAAATGTTAAACTCACCATGAAATGTTAAACGCACCATGAAATTATTAAACTCACCATGAAATGTTAAACTCACCATGAGATTTTTTAAACCCACCATGAAGTGATGAAACTCACCATGGCATGTTAAACTCACCATGAAATTTTCTAAACTCATCCTGAAATTATTAAACTCACCATGAAATTTTTAACTCACCATGAACTTTTTAACTCACCATGAAATGTTAAATTCACCATGAAAAGTTAAACGCACCATGAAGTTTTAAACTCACCATGAAATTTTAAGCTCACCATGAAATCTTTAACTCAACAAAATATCTGTTCCAATCAGTTGTAACTGGGCGCAAAGATGTCGAAGAACAGTCGACCCCTAAACCCCGAAACCTTGAGAACTCGCAGCGTAAGCTTGGGCGACATAGTATAGGGGTCGGAATACTTACTAGTAACATTCTCTTAGTGTCCCTGAATAATTATACTAGAATAACCCCCAAAACCCTGTTCTAATTATTAAGGCCCCTACAGTACCCGGCTTGGAGGACCCAGCAGGCTCCAAGCCCCTTTGCTATGCTTTGCTGTCCATGCTAAGTGAAGCTTGCTTTCAAGTGAAGCTTGGGTAGGGTGGTGAGGGTTGGTGTCTCCCTAGACCCTAAACCCTAAACCCTAGACCCCAAACCCCAAACCCCAAACTGCCGAAGCTCGGGGGTTGTTAAGGGCTTGCTGATTCTTCATGGAGGAGTGGAGGAGCAGATTTCTGTAATTCCCTACATGGTAGTTTCTAGGGTTCAGGGCGTGCGGCCACAGGGCTTGGGCTACGGCCCGCCTAATTATGGGTAGGACTTGGTAGGACCTACCTACATTTCTCACAAACCGGTGTGGGCCTGTAAGTTCGAGTTTAGTAACCCTATGCCCTAAACCATAAACCTAAACCCTAAATCCTAAACCCTAAACCCTAAACCCTAAACCCTAAACCCCAAACCCTGAACCCTAAACCCGAAACCCGGAACCCTGAAATTCAGGGCTGATCGTCTCGGAGAGCTGAGGCTGGAGCAGACCGACTCCAGGCTGGCAGCTGCTTCCCTGGGCGTGGCCAAGGCCTCCGCGTGATGTGGAACCAAAGTAACCTTGAGAACTCCAAACCCCTAATCCCCAGGGCTTAGGGGCTTAGGGTTTAGGGTTTAGGGTGTAGGGTTTAGTGTTTAGGGCTGAGGGTTTAGGGTTTAGTCTAGAACCGGCGTAGAAGCCTATAGGACACGCTAAGGCCCTGCAGAATCCTAAGCGAGAAAACCGCAATCCTCAGGCCCCAACATGCACCCTGAGCCCGAAACTTACGGGTATGAAATCAAAAGGAAGTCGGTGCCCTACATGACCCCTTCAAGGCTAAAGGGCAAATTTCGGTTTGGGCTTCAGGGTTGAGGGTTTAGGATTTAGGGTTTAGGGTTGAGGGTTTAGGGTTTAGGGTTTAGGGGTAGTCGAGGTACTTAAACCTTGATACCCTGAACCTGGACCTGCATGGCCTGAAGAATTCTCCACATTGCCCCCACCTCATCAACCCCTTCGTACCTATGGTATTTAGGGTCTAGAGTTTAGGGCTTAGGGTTACGGGGGGGGGGCCCCAGCTCTAGCCCGGAAGCAACCCCCCTCCCCAAAGCCCAACATAACACTCCGAGCTTGACAGGCCCGGAGACTCTGACTCCCAAAGGCCAACACCCGAAAGCTCCCGTGAGCCCCTGAACCCTGAACCCTGAACCCTGAACCCTGAACCCTAAACGCTAAACCCTAAACCCTAAACCCTAAACCCTGAATCCGCTTCAGGCGCCCGTGGAGCTTCCAAATTTCCCGGCCTCGACCTTGGCGCTGACGAATCTGCAGTTGTTCGGACGTATGGTGCGTTCCAACACCCCAAGCATAATTCCAATATTAGCCCTATAATCCCTATATACCTTACACCCTAAACCCTAACTATTAAACCCTAAACGCTCCCTTAAAATTCTCAACCCCCTAGAGAATGACACACGATCGGTGAGGGTTTGGGTGCGGGCGGTTTGTGTAGTTTTGTGTTCGTTGGCAAATTTGGCGCTGGAGTCTGTTTTAGGGTTTCAGTTCAGGGCCTAAACCCTAAACCCTAAACCCTAAACCCTAAACCCTAAACCCTAAACCCTAAACCCTAAACCCTATTTACTGTAGGTTGGATACAGAGGCCCTTCAGGGAGTTCGAGGGAAAGAGCTGAAGGTTTGGAGCACGGTTCGAGCGTATGAGGCTCACTCCAACACTACAACCCACAAACGCTGAAAGGGTTTAGGGTTTAGGGTTTAGGGTGCAGGGTGTAGGGTTTAGGGTTTAGGGTTTAGTCTTAAAATCCCCTCGGCTGTGGATGTTTCAAAGTCTGATCCCCAGAAAGTATTCATTGTCTGAAGATTTTTTGTGAGCTCATATCAGTGCTAACAGGAGGGTTTCGGGTGGTTTAGGGGTTTAGGGATTCAGGTGACTAGGGTTGGGGGCTTGGGGAGGGTTTGGGGTCTTAGGGTGTAGGGTGTAGGTTGCAGGGTTAGGTGCTTTGTCATGGTTTTAGGTTCATGGATGTCGGCTTAGGGTTGGTTGTATAGTGTTTATTGGTCACTGGTTCTCAATTCCCTATGCAAACCCTACGAAGAATCAGCAAGTGTCAGGATTTCCAGATTTCAGGGGGTAGGCTCCGTTCAGGAGAGGCCATTGCAAAACACCAAGCCCCAGGACCCTAAACCCTAAACCCCAAACCCCAAACCCCAAACCCTAAACCCTAAACCCTAAACCCTAAACCCTAAACCCTAAACCCTACTACACCCTACACCCTAAACCCTAAACCCTAAACCCTAAACCCTAAACGGGTTACGCCAAGGACCTCCTGGCGGGAAGGCTCGCCAAGGACCCGGTGACGAAGCGCACGCAGACGGTGAAGAAGGAGAGCCGGGGCCTACAGAACCCCAGCTGCGGCGCACTTCAGAGGGTTTAGGGTTTAGGGTTTGGGGTTTAGGTTTAGGGTTAGGATTTAGGGTTTAGGGTTTAGGGTTTAGGGTTTAGGGTTTAGAGCAGATCTAGGGTTTAGTCGGAGTTAGGTTACGGTTGAGGGCTCAGTAGGTTCCTAAGCCGAAGCCTCCGACTTAAAGCCCGAACGCAGCCAACCCCAAACAGGGACCCTTCTTGTAAGATGTGGACTGGGTTACCGGTTGCCAAGCAATAAGTTCGAACAAACAGCTCCCCCCAAACCCTGGGCCCTAATTCCGGGAATCCCACAGAACATTTCAGCTTTGTGATCCCAGCAGGGGGTTCGGCACTGCTGCTTTTTGTCTTTTTTCATGTGTGGGGTTTCGAAAGTTGAGGTTCTTTGTTGAGTGCTAGTTTGTGGGTTTCTGAAAATTTGGGTTCCTATAACAAGGGTTATGTGTCCCTAAACCCTAAACCCTAAACCCTAAGCCCTAAGCCCTAAACCCTAAACCCTAAACCCTAAACCCCAAACCCTAAACCCTCAAGCCCCCTGTAACTTGAACTTATTAAGAAATATCTACAAAACGAAACTCCTCGAAACTCCTCGAAACTTCCCCGGACCTGAACCCTTAATAATTTCAATAAACCCGAAACCCCGAGCCCCCCTTTTTGCAGCCATTTTGGCTGGCGGGCGATGGTCTCGAGCCGCACGCGCCTGGGCCAGCAACATGGGTCGTCGAGGGCTCCCCCGAACCTCCGGAGCCCTAAGCCCTAAAACCCATAAACCCTTGGGACATAAACCCTAAACCCTAAACCCTAAACCCTAAACCCTAAACCCTAAACCCTATACCCTAAACCCTAAACCCTAAACCCTAAACCCCAAACCCTAAAGCCGAAACCCTAAAGCCGAAACCCTAAACCCTAAGCCAAATCAACCTCACCCTAACCCCTAAAACCCCTAAGCCCTTAAACTCCAACAACCTTAGAGCCGCGTGAGATCAGGGTGCTGGGCTCTATCTTGGGGGCTGCGAACCCCCCACCTCCCCCCCCCCCGCCCCCCACGGCCGCCACCAAAAAAACAAACAAACAAGAAAGCAACAAGCCTTTTGTGGGTGTTCGGGTTTAGGGTTTAGGGTTTGGGGTTTGGGGTTTACAAGCTTTTTTGCCCCCCCACTTCTTGGCCGATCGAAGGCAGGGTGTTCTGGTTTAGGGTTCAGGGAACCCTAAACCCTAAACTCTAAACCCTAAACCCTAAACCCTAAACCCTAAACCCTAAACCCTAAACCCTAAACCCTAAACCCTATGCCCTAAACCCTAAACCCTAAACCCTAAACCCTAAACCCCAAACCCTAAAGCCGAAACCCTAAAGCCGAAACCCTAAACCCTAAGCCAAATCAACCTCACCCTAACCCCTAAAGCCCCTAAGCCCTTAAACTCCAACAACCTTAGAGCCGCGTGAGATCAGGGTGCTGGGCTCTATCTTGGGGGCTGCGAACCCCCCACCTCCCCCCCCCCCGCCCCCCACGGCCGCCACCAAAAAAACAAACAAACAAGAAAGCAACAAGCCTTTTGTGGGTGTTCGGGTTTAGGGTTTAGGGTTTGGGGTTTGGGGTTTACAAGCTTTTTTGCCCCCCCACTTCTTGGCCGATCGAAGGCAGGGTGTTCTGGTTTAGGGTTCAGGGAACCCTAAACCCTAAACCCTAAACTCTAAACCCTAAACCCTAAACCCTAAACCCTAAACCCTAAACCCTAAACCCTAAACCCCAAACCCTAAACCCTAAACCCTAAACCCTGATCTCTTCTGGGCCCTTGTTTGTTGTGGCCAGGGTCAACACATGAGGCCTGGGTTCCCGAAGCCCGAAGCCTGGGCATGGACCCTTAAGCGACCAATTGCCCAAGAACCCCCAAAAAAGTAAGAATATTCTTGCTAATAAGGGCAAGAATATAGGGATTACTATGTTTTTTTTTTTTTTTTTTTTTTGGGGGGGGGGGGGGGGGTCTGAAAGTAAAAGTAGTAGACCCCTTTTTTCGCGACCCCAGATTCCGACGATGGGTTGCGGTGGCAGCGTGCCATCATCAGGAGCTTTGTCGAAGGCGGCTTGGGGCACCTAAACCCTAAACCCTAAACCCTAAACCCTAAACCCTACACCCTAAACCCTAAACCCTAAGCCCTAAACCCTAAACCCTAAACCCTAAACCCTAAAACCCTAAACCCTAAACCCTAAACCCTAAAGTTGTACCAAGGAGAAACGTTTCGGCCCCGGAGACCCTGAGCCCTGAACCTTAAACCCCTTATGTGCCCTAATATGGTTAGAGGTGCAGTTATAAGTACAGTTATAAAAAGGGTGAACGCTTCGTCAAGTTCGGCCCTAAACCCTAAACACTCTTGACCTATGTATACTTAAGCCTTAGTGGGGGGTCGGCAGAAGAGTATTCGGAGACACCGTCTTGGTGAACACTCCGCCCCCTCTGATGGATGCCTTCAAGGAACCCTCTTTTTGGGGTCTACAAGGGGGCTCTTCAGGGGGCCTTCCCTGAAATTTTCCAAGGCAAAATAGTAGGAGACCCCCGCTTGGTTAAACCCACCGACGCCACGTTCGCGCGCAGAAAGGCTCTCTTCAGCCCCTTGCAGAAATGTCGGCATGCGCAGTTCTTCCTGTACTTCTCACGACATGCACATGCGAAATCACTCGGGGCCACCAGTTTTCAGGGCAAACGCCAGCCACGGCATGAACACGCAGCTTCCTGTAAATCTCATGACATGCACATACACAGTCCCTCGGGGCCAGCAGTGCTCAAGGCAAAGACCACTTTCTGAGCAGTCCAGCCATGGAACCTTTGCTCCTTGCAGCTGTTCCTGAACTGGCAGACCCGGAGTTTCGCACACGTCAGCTCCGGGCCATGCACGCCTACTCCAACGACACCGTCGACCTCGTAGTCTGCAGCGGTGAGGACGATCCACCTGCTGCCTTGTCGGTTTCTGGCATTGTTTTCCCGAGGAACCAGCCCAGACACTTCTGAGGCCAAAGTTCTCGTACAGTTCTCTCGTCTTTGTTGTCGACTTACCGCATTGCTCGTGCTGGACAGCTTGGATGTCCGTCACAAGGCTTTGGTTTGCCTGCGAAGGACAGCGCGTGGCTTTTCCAGTAACAAAAAGGATCGCCAGCCGCTCACACTTACATGTCTCCATGTCCCCAAACCTTGTCATGTTCAGGGATGCGCGCGCGAGCGTGCGGTCGGCGCGTCTAAAACTCCGACACCCCCTTGAGAGAGGAAATTTGCCTTCAGAAAAGCTTCTTTTCAGGGTCCACAAAAAAGCCCGTTTGTTTGGGCTCAGTGAGTTGAATGAACAAAGGGGTCGGTTGTAGATGCCTGTGTTGTGAGCCGAGTGAGAAAATGGGTTGGCTAAATCTAATTTAAGTCAGAAACATGGATGTATAATTTAGATGAATTGGGATTCTGGGAGGGTGGGGTGATACTGAAGTAGCAAGAGCCTCGCACATCGCCGGCTCGGGCCAAGCGTAAACCCTAAACCCTGAACCCTAAATCCTAAACCCTAAACCCTAAACCCGAAACCCTAACGCCCCTAGACTGCTTATGGGATTATTGGAGGGCCAGGCCGCCCGCCCGTTTCAGGCGTTCAGGAGTTGGGGCTGGCCTAGGGCGTAGGGTGTTGAGGGGCGAGGGTTCTCAATCCTTCAATGTCCCCCGAAACCCCAAACCCCAATCCCTAACCCTCAACCCTCAAGCCCCTGTGACTTGAAAATTGTTCAAAAGCGGAAACCCCTTGAAGCCGCCCGAAACGCTTCGAGACTTTCGTCGACACGCCTCGAAACTTCCCCGAACCTGAACCCTGAACATTTTCCCTAAACCCTAGCCCTAAACCCTAAAACCCTAAATCCAACACCTGAGTCTCTCAGGTAAAGCCAGATGAGTTTTTGGATCTGCGTGGGCAAGTGGCGACCACTGCCTGGCCAAGCACTGAAGAGCCTCTCTTGAAACCCTAAACCCTAAACCCTAAACCCTAAACCCTAAACCCTAAACCCTAAACCCTAAACCCTAAACCCTAAACCCTAAACCCTAAACCCTAAAAACCCCTAAACCCTAAACCCTAAACCCTAAACCCTAAACCCTAAACCCTAAACCCTAAACCCTAAACCCTAAACCCTAAACCCTAAACCCTGAACCCTAAACCCTAAACCCTAAACCCTAAACCCTCAACCCTCAACCCTCAACCCTAAACCCTAAACCCTAAACCCTAAACCCTAAACCCCAAACCCTAAACCCTAAACCCTAAACCCTAAAGGGCAGGGCATGCCGAAGAGGGTTGGAAAGGATGGCCCGCGCGAGGGTGAAGTCGCAATCTCCGTGATGGACAAGTACGAGGTGGCTGTGCCCAAGGTGTGGTGGGACTCGCTGGACGATGATGGGAAGGCGAAGGTCATGCGGGACATGGAAGAGCAGTTTCGCTTGCAGCAGGGTGTAGGGTTTAGGGTTTAGGGTTTAGGGTTTAGGGTTTAGGGTGAGGGCTCGATCAAGATCGGCCTCTGTGGCTGTGGTCCGCAGCCGGGGGAGGAGTCATCGTCGAGCAAGCCCAAGCCAGAAAGCGAGGGGGGGGGATGGTAAGGCTGGTAAGGATAAAGAGAAGAAATTGGAGGAGAAATCCTCGGATGAATGGGAGCTTTTGGGTTGACAAAAGGTACACTTGTTAACTCCAGGCCACCAGTGGCTCCCTAAGCCCTAAGCCCTAAGCCCTAAGCCCCAAGCCCTAAGCCCTAAGCCCTAAACCCTAAACCCTAAACCCTAAACCTTAAACCCTAAACCCTGAACCCTAAACCCTAAACCAACCCTAACCCCTAAACCCTAACCCGGGCCAAGCCCTACAGCTAAGCGCCAGCACCCTGTCAGGTGTAGGGCATGCTTTCGGTCCTTTCTGAGACTGGCCTCCGGGGTCCCCTACAGCCCTAAACCATAGATCAAGAAACCGTCAGGAGAAGGAGGGTTCAGGGTTCAGGGTTCCGGGTTTAGGGTTTAGGGTTTAAGGTTTGGGGTTTAGGGTTTAAGGTTTAGGGTTTAGGGTCGCTTTGCTATCCCGGGCGGCCTCAAAGGGGCAAGGAATGTCCAGCCTAGGTTTCAGGGATCCTGGGTCGTCCTCTGTCTCCTTGTTCACATGTGCTTGGGCAGAAGCAGGGTAGCGGTAGTTATAGCCATTGTTGCTTACAGTGCTTGGAGCTTCATGGCACTTATGAACCAATTATTGCCTTCTTATAGCCCACTTATGAGCCCCTTAAGTGCCCTGATATAGTTATAAGTAAGAACCCGTGTTTTTTGTGTTGTGGGTGTTTTTTTGCTGTGGGTGTTTTTTTCCGGGACCGCCGCCGGTGAGTGAGTGACCTTGCGCGGGGCTGCGCCCCCCCCCCCCCCCCCTAACACCCGCTTTTTTAAGCCGGGCAAGCTTGATTCAAAGCATACGAATCCCGTCCAAACCCATGATGCGAGCATTGTGTTTGCAAATGTGGGGGGGGGGGGGGGGCTGCGCCCCCCCAACCCCCCCGCTTTTTTTAAGCCGGGCAAGCTTGCTTCAAAGCATACGAATCCCTTCCAAACCCATGATGCGAGCATTGTGTTTGCAAATCGGGGGGGCTGCGCACCCCCCAACCCCCCCTAAGAAAAAGAGAATATATAATTGCTTCCTACAAAAACTCAGAAAATATAGTGGAAGTTGAATTTTCCGATTGAAAATAGAGATATAAACGTCTTCTTAGTAAAGAATCGAGAAAATAGAGCTTGTTCTGAGAACATGGAAAACGTCAACAACAGTACTTGTTGTTTGCGAGTCACAGATAGAGATAATGCATATACTCTTATGAAAATATTGAGAATTAGCTTCTGATGTATTCCTCTCTCATGTCTTCCTCATGAGATGTAGACAAATAGTAAACTGCAGAAAAATGGAGGTTTTTGTTATAAAGCGTAGAGAATTAGAGGTTTTCCTATGACAACTTAGAGGAAATAGAGGTTTTCATATTAAAACTTCGCGAACGAGGATTTTCAGATTAAAATATAGAGAAGATAGAAGTCTTGATATTTAGGTATAAAGGTTTCCGATTAAGATAGCAAGAAATAGAGGTTTTCATATCAACATATGGACAAAAACAAAGGTTTTCCAATTAAGGCATAGAGAAAAGAGAGAGGCTTTCATGTTCAAATATAGCGAAAGTAGAGGTTTTTTGCAATACAGAGAACATAATGGTTACCTTTAATTGCAATTCACGTAGAGAGATAACACAGAGAATTAGTTTCTCATGTATTCCTCTTTCATGTCTTCCACATGAAACATAGAGGAAACGGTGACAATATAGACAAAATAGAGAAACATAGAGATTTTTCTTTAATCTACAGTAGAAAAATAGAGGGCTTCGGATTAAAGTTTGGAGAAATTAGACAAATAGAGGTTTTCATATTAAAATGTAGAGAAAACAGAGGTTTTCACATTCAAACACAGATAAGAAAGAGGTTGTCCGATCAAAATACAGAGAAGAAACAGGTTTTCCTATCAGAATACAGAGAAAATAGAGGTTTTCATATTACAATATATATAGAAAACAGCAAAACAAAACCCCCGCGTCCGCAGCTAAAACAAAGCGCCCCCGCACCCGCAGCAAAAAAGAAAACGCGCCCCCACCGCACCCGCAGCAAGAAAAAAACCGCCCCCGCACCAACAGCAAAAAAAAGCGTTCCCGCACCCACATAAATACAAAACAAAAAACGCGCCCCGCACCCGCAACCAAAAAACACCCGCAAAGAAAAATATTACCGCTATAAGCAGTTGTAATTGGTTAAAAAGTAACATGAACCTCCAAGTAGAGCCCGATATTGGGGCCCGGGGGTGCTTGTAACCTTACCTGCAGATCAGCTTGGCTTTGCAAGGAGATTGCTCTGCGCAAGGCCGATCGCAATGGCCAAGAAGAGCTTTGGCTTCAGCTGTTTCAGATCATAAGCTTCAGGGCTGTTTTGAGTTGCAGCCTTCGCGTAAGAGAGCATGCGCGCCGAAATCCACAATGCTGCCAGCATTGGTTTCCGAAGCGTGTACACCAGGTGGAGAGCCCCGAAACCCTCGCCCTACGCCCTAAAGCCCTAAGCCCTAAACCCTAAGACCTCTTGCTCGCAACCCGAATCCCTAAGTCCGCGAGCTTCAGGACAAGGATGCCCCCAAGCTCATTGAAGAGGAGACGACCGAGCAGAAGGGCGAAGAGACCCACGAGTTAGGTGACGAAGGGAATGCGAAGGCCGCTGTTCAACACAGAACGAGGTAGGCCCTTTTTGGGACATGGTATATTTTCCCTTATTGGGTTTAAGAGGATACCATTTAGGAAGATTTTTCAGAGCATCCTAGAGAATGCAGGCTTTGGGCTTTAGGCCACGGGGTTTTGGTGCTTGGGGATTTGGGCTGAGGGCAAGTGCTAGAGGTTTAGGGTTCAGGTTCCTGACCCTGAGGCAGGTCTTTGTTTCAGGGCTCCCAGCTACCAAAATGACCCCGAACCCTGAACCCTAAACCCTACACTCTAAACCCTTAACCCTAAACCCTTAGCCGTGTTCGGGTAGGTATGTAGGGAATCTGAAAGCTTAGGGAGTTGAACCCCCTCCTTGAAGATTCCTTTCTTCCTTTGTCTACGAGCCCACTCCAGTTGCTTTCGCACCCCAACACCCTCTGCCCCACCTTTCAGTCATGGCCCGCTATACTCCCACCTGAGTCCCCGCGATTTAGGGATAGTTAAGCCGAATTACGGTTTATTTTTTTGGGGGGGACCTGGGGGGAAGGGGTAGTATAGAGGGGTAGTCCAGGTGATGTCCTCCTGGGACTCCGATTGGTGGAGAGACACGCCGGCACACGTCCCACATATGCCGGATCGCAGAACTCATGAGTACCACGCTGCTTGGCCAGGAGGACCTTCTTGCCACCCTTCAACCCTACTTGGAGGTCCATGGTTACTTCTAAGTAGGGTTAGAAGTAGGGTGAC